GGTTTTAGAGGGGAGGGGGGCTTGGTTAGCCCGGTGATGGGTATTAAGGAGGGCACGTACTGCATGGAGCACTGGGTGTTATATGAAAACAATGGATCGTGGATCACCACATCAAAAACCAATGATGTATTGTATGGTGACTAACATAACATAATAAAATTTAAAAAAAAAGAATAGAGGTTCTGAAAAATAAAAAAAAAAGATTTTAAAATTACAGTAGAGACAACATTACAAAACATTCAAAAAGTAATTTTAGGGTGACTGGCTGGCTCAGTCGTTAGAGCCTGTGACCCTTAATCTCAGGGTCATGAGTTCAAGCCCCAAGTAGGGCACGGAGTCTACTTTAAAAAAAAAAAAGTAATTTTAATAGACGGTTGTTTTGCTGAGATTAAATTGCCACTCAATGAGACTATCATATTGACAGTACCCGAGACCTCTCCTCCTGCACTGTTCAGTTACTTGAATAAATTCGCTTTTTCCCCTTAAGTTTGTTTGAAATGGATTTTCTGTGGCTTTCAACCAAGACTTTACTCAACGATATAGTTCCTTCTGTTGCCACAACTGTGGAAACTTAAAAAAACAAAAAACAAAAACAAACGAAAAAAACACCGTAGGGCTGGCGTTCATTTTCATCCTTCCCTCCGCCTTTTAGCACGGGCACCCACGGCCTCGACCCGCGCCCCCGCGCGCCGGGCCGGGCTGCAGGACGCCGGGCAGGACCTGGTCTCCGAGGACGGCTGCTCAAATCCCACCGATCCCGCACAGCCCGCGTCCTCGTTGTCACGGCTCCGTCCTATAGGAGGTGTCACCTTGCTCTCCCCGTCTGAATCGGGGGTATGTGGTTGTACCCTCGGCCGGACCGTCGTTGTCGTACCCCACAGCTCGACCCCCTGGGTGCGCTCTTATCCTGAGCGCCCAGAGGACAAAGCCGGGCAGGGAGCCGGGTACACGGTGCACCAGAACTAATACTTGAGGGCTTATTCACCGCTGAAGACACGCTTCGGAAGGCCTGGGCCCGCTCTTTGGGCCAAGGAGACAGCAGCAGGATCCCGCCTCCCAGGCAAGGCCAGCATTCGCATAACCGAGCTCTGCGTGGCTTAAAACAAGCACCACGCTGATGTCCTTTAAATCAGAGGCGACGGGCACTCTTCGCCTCAGCTGTTTCCCTCCCAGGATTGTGCCGGCCCCTGAGCACCGGCCGCCCGGCACCGCCGCCCTTCGGCCATCGGGGGGCAGTAGGCGTCGAGAAGGGACGCGCACGCTCCACGTGGGGCTCCGCGCTTCGCCTCCGCGACCGCCGAGTGACGCGAGCAAGGGCATGCGATCATGGGAAATGTGGTTTCCGAACCTCAGGACCACGGCGGTGCGCCCCCCGCGTAGGCCCAGAGCAGGACTTCAGCTCCCGGTTGGCCTGCGGGCGCGGGAGGGGACGCGAAGGAAGGGGACGCGAGGGAAGGGGGCAGGGCGAGTGTGAGGGGAGAGGTGGGCGGGGCCGGGGAAGGCCAAGCGGAGGGGGCGGGGTCTGGCCGGCTGAGGCGCCGCCGCCCGCCGTTGGAGGAACCTGAGGCGCGGGGCCGGGAACCACGGGGGGTCTGGACGGCGGCGGGCGCGAGGGCAGGCGTGCCCAGAGTGGTCGCGCGTGCGTCGGCCACCGCCCCTCGGCCTTCCTCTTCGCGGGTCCCCTCCCTCTCCGCCGGGACGCGGGAGAGCCCGGCGCGCGACGGGGGCGCGAGGTGGGGCCGGCGGGGGCGGCCAATGCGAAACTGGCTGGTGCTGCTGTGCCCGTGTGTGCTC